TGGAATTCCTCGTGTTGCTCCTTTTTTTTTTGACCACCCATCTCTTTTTTTTTTCTAGCTCTTCGCCATGGCCTATGAACCCTTGGCGGTGTTTGCTCGCCACTCATCAAGCGATGAAACCCGCATCGTGGGCCTGGGAAGGCATTCGATGGGTCCTATGTGGCGACCGCGTGGGAATATCCATAACTTTTTGCCCAGGAATCCGATTCGGCATAATGACCCCATTCCGAAAAGCTTATTCCAAGCCGGACGGAGCGTCGATGGGCCATTGGCCCATCAGCCAACCATGCGCAGGCAAAAAAATGCATTTTTAATCCTTAAGGATGATTGATACGATCATATCATCCTGGACGAACTCAGGATCGACCAGGATGATCTATTCAAAAACTTTGGTTACTTCAGGACGATAAATATCAGCCAGCTCATATTCAGGGCGATGCTCTAGATGATTTTCCTCTGATTTGAACTGATCGGCCAGGATGATCAAGCCAATTTTAAATCGTCCAATTTGCATTCAGGGAGATGCTCTGGCCGATCTTCTGAGGTTTGTACTGATCGGCCAGGCCGATGTCCATATCGGCCTGGACGATATTGTCGGCAACTTGCAATTAATGAGCTCCTTTGAAGCTTACCTATTTAAGAGCTCTTGTTAAACGATTTGAACAATCTTTTGCTGCTGCCTTGACCTGATAAGGCCTTGAGGAGAGAAAGAGAGAGAGAGGGAGAGAGAGAGGATCTTGTGAGGGGATTCACAAGGGTGCTTCAAGGATCTCTCTGCTTCTTCCTCGTCTAGAGTTTCTTATCCGTGGAAGGGTCGATAGAGGTAAGGTTTTCAGTACTGGATTGTGGTTCTCTGCCAGCTTCAGGAGGAACAAAAGGAGATAGGTCCTCTGCCTTGCCAGGTGGCAAAAAGGACTTCTTTGTGAGGGCTTCTCCGCCTAGCCGTGGGGGCTAAAGGAGAGATATGTTTTGTAGTGCAATACTTGGAGGATGCCTCCAAGGAGTGGACGTAGGTCAAGTTGATCGAACCACTATAAATTTCTGTGTTATTATTTTCTTGCTTCTGCACTTTAAATTTTCGCATTATTTTTGTCTTGTGGTG